ACTAAAAATATCTTCTTACAGAACCAAATATGCGACTTCCTTTGCATATCAGAACACTGGCTAAAGCATGAACAGCTGGTTGCAACTAAAATTAACAATTTCTCACTTGCGTCCTCATACTGCCGCCAGAAATAGACAGCATGGGGGTGTTGCGATTCTCACCCGTAATGGTATACTTGCGAAGCAGGTTGATCTAACTGCATTTGTTCAACCTTTCCATGCTGAGCTTTGTGGAATAGCTATAGGGAATAGTATAATTGTCACTGCTTATAGGTCATCTACAACTGGAGATGTTACAGTTTTTATTGAATCCCTCGATACAATGTTACATATGCTTGTTAATAGGTATAAGAACTTTATTATAGACATTAATATAGATGTAAGTCTGGAAACTTCTGATACCAAGGAGTTACGATGTATGCTAAACACATTTGGGTTCCGCCACTGTATCACATACATGACGAGAATTACGGAAACTAAGCGATCTTGCCTGGACAATGTCCTTACAAATATTGATCCAGACACGATGGCATGTGGTACCTGTGATCCGGGCATGTCTGACCACAAAGGGGTGTACACGGTAATGTACGACGCTCAGAATTTTACTTCTGGGGCACCATCTGAGCTAAGGCGTATTCTATCTAATGATCGTATTTTGTCCTTTGTTAACCACGTATGTAAATCGCCTCTGCGCATCCTTTCACATTCTTCCGCTACTGACGCAGTGGATGCGTTTCTTCATCAAATAAACATTTTTGTAGAGGACTGTTTTCCACAAAAAAATTCAAAAAAGAACTTCTCCAGTTAACTGGTATAACGACAAGCTGCGTCAGATGCGAAATAATATGATTGAGCTTAAAACAACATTTAATGCTACTAGAGACGTTAAGATCTGGGAAGACTTCAAACTGAGTCGGAACACTTATAGGAAAACTATTAAGGAGGAAAACAGGAATTTTTACGCAAACATAATTGAAAACTCACATAATAGAAATAAATCTATTTGGAAAGTTGTCAATGCCGAGAATAAAAACAAAACATCTACTAAAACTAATTTGAATTCTGAAGAGTTGAACATCTTCACATCTGTAGCTAGCAAAATACTAAATTAATTGCCTGTATGTAATTATGGTGCAGAGAATTACTTAAAAAATGTAACCAAGCCACATTTCTCATTTTTTATTAGTCCAATACTTCCTCAAGATGTCAGGAAGGCAATCTTACTCCTAAAAGATTCATATTCTTTGGATCATTACGGCCTAAACAGCGCTATCTTGAAGAGTTGTGTCGATATTTTAACCGAACCGCTATCTGTTCTGTACAGTAAATGTATACAGGAGGGTGTTTGGCCAGACGCTTTAAAAATATCGAAAGTAATACCAGTCTTCAAAAAAGGAGATAGGGACTCCCCTGACAATTATAGGCCAATTGCAATCATCCCTATTATTGTAAAAATTTTTGAGATCCTGTTGAAACAAAAGCTCACCTCTTATTGTGAAAAAAAATCAATACCTACTTTCTGTCTCTCAATTTGGATTTCGGAAAAACTCCACAACCATCACAGCATTACTTCACTTGCTTGATGAATTATTGGACAATATTGACAACCACATAGGTACTATGGCTGCCATTTGCGATTTATCAAAAGCGTTTGACTGCGTTAATACGCAGATACTTCTTCAAAAACTTGAATTCTACGGTATGAGAGGTAATGAGCTAGCCCTTTTCCAATCCTATCTCACAAATAGTATCGACGGCATTAACTCTGGAGTGCTGGAGATAAGAAATGGTGTACCTCAGGGCTCTGTGCTAGGCCCATTACTGTTTCTTATTTACATCAACGATCTGCCTCAGAATATTGTCAACGGCTCATGCATTCTGTTCGCTGACGATACTACACTGCTCGCCCGTTCAGATCTGTGTTCTGTTGTGGAAAGCTTGGAACAGGCTAAAGGTTGGTTCCTTGCTAATAAATTATCTCTTAATGAAAGCAAAACCCACCATATCACTTTTTCATCTAATAGGTGGGTATCGAAGTCGGCACCAGTGAAGCTATTGGGGATGGTTTTAGATACCAGACTTAATTGGGCCTCACATATTGACTACCTCTGTTCCAATCTCTCCACTCAGGTGTACATACTCAGACTACTTAGCCGATGTCTTAGTGGACATACACTGAGGGTTGTATATTATAGGCATTTTTCACAGTCACCTGTCCTATGGTACTGTTCTTTGGGGTAACTCGGTTACTGCAAACAAAATATTCGTATTACAGAAGTCGGCAATAAGGATATTAACGAATTCCAAATTTCGAGCTACTTGTAGAGACCTATTTAAGAATAGTCGGATACTGCATTTAGCGTCAATCTATATCTACGAGTCATTGCGATACATTCACGCTAATCTTAAATACTCAACCCCCAGTAGTACCTACCGCTTGAGATCAGCGGACACGTTTAAAAATCAATATTCACGTTTGATGATGACTCAAACCAACAGACGCGATGTAAATATGTATAACCTGCTTGTTAAAGCCTACAGATAATTTAACATAAATTGCATGTCAACATCACGTTTCTCGCGTTTTACAAAGAAATTGTTACAGGAATGTGTTTTTATAGTGTCACTGAATATATGGAATACCTTATTAATGTAAAATAGTGTTTAGGACCTCACATGTACAATATATGTATATAAAGTGGTGAATAAATGATATGATGATATGATATAATATTATTATTATTATAATTATAATTACTATATTATTATTATTATATAATCATTACTATTATAATAATAATTATTATTACAATTATTTATTATTATTATTATTATTATTATTATTATTATAATTCTATTATTATATATTATTACAGTTATTCCTCTTACTATTATAATGATTGTTATTATTATTATAATTTATTATTATTATTATTAATATATTATTATTATTATCATTATTATATTCCGTTTTCTGTTAGCTATTCTCTGCTACTACGTTATTATTATTATTATTATTATTCCGTTTTCTGTTAGCTATTCTCTGCTACTGCAGGTGGTATCCTCAAACGCGGCATTATACTGCAAGCGTCTGAGTGTGACTATTGGTTTCTCTTTGTCTATGTGGCTACATTCAGGACCTTGCGTGCTATATGACAACTACCTAAGATAGCAGCTTTCTGAAGTGAGAGGTATAGTTTCTGCGGCAGATTTAGTTTCTATCATATATGTAGACTCTTAGGTATTTCTCCTGTGGCTCCGATCACTATTGGGATGACTTCAACTTTTTCTTGATTCCACAGTGTTTTTACTTCTGCAGCTAGTGGTAAGTACTTGCGAACCTTTTCTGTCTGCTTCTCAGCTATGTTATGTGGGGCAGGCACACTAATGTCAATTATGCAGGTAACTTGCTTCATTTTATCTTGAACTACGATATCTGGTTTGTTGTATTCCATGGTGTGATCTGTTTGAATTTTATTATATTATTATTATATTATATTATTATAATTACTATTATTATTATGATAATTAATATAATAAGTATTATTATTATTATTATAACTATTATTATTAAATTATAATTATTATTATTAACATTATATATTATTATATTATAATTATTATTATTATAATTTTGATTATTATTATTAACGTTATTATTATTATTATTAATTACTATTATTATTATAATTACAATTTTTAT